GCGGGCCTCTCACTGTCGCGGCCTCTCCCGTCGCGGAGCACAGGCTCCGGACGCGCAGGCTCAGCGGCCATGGCTCACGGGCCCAGCCGCTCCGCAGCATGTGGGATCTTCCCAGACCGGGGCACGAACCCGTGTCCCCTGCAGTGGCAGGCGGACTCTCAACCACTGCGCCACCAGGGAAGCCTGTGAACTTTCCTTTTTATTGTCTCGCTTGATGAAGTAGATGAAAGGGGCAGGTGTTAGCCATCCACTTTGACCCATGAGAAGCCCAAAGCTCATCGAGGGAATGTGATATACCCAGGGACGACGCACAGCTGGTTTGCTGCATTCTGTTCCGGGAAGGGGACAGAGTTCCAGAGCAGTGGTGGGGGTTGGAGGAGGAGTGTGCCAGGGAGTAGAGAGGTGGCTGGGGTGGGAGTGCCCCAGGTGGAGAACAGGGCTGATTCCACCCTCCAGGAATTTATGCCCCTCTGGGTGTCCGCAGCAGCCCCTGGGCTAAGCTAGGCCATTGGCACTGGTGGAGCGGCTGGAGCAGACTCAGATTGAGCTGATTAATTTATCCAGGTCCCTGGCAGGAAACAGACAGAGAGCAGCTGGCTGGCTCTTTGGTGCTCCATTAATTGTGACAATGACTTTAACCCCAGATGTGACTCAGTGCTGCCCAGAGCCCCAGCTGCAGAGCGGGGTGCAGCGTGGGGGTCCTTCTTGGGGTGGGGGGTGCAGGAGGCACGCAGCCTTTCAGGTGAGGCGGGCACGCCCTGGGCTGCTTCCCCAGTGGTCCCTAGAGGCAGGCACAGGTGGGCTGGGAAAAGGCTGCCAGTTCAGCATCATACCAGTCCTGTTCCTCGGGTGCCTTCTGTGCCAGGTCCAAGCTAAGCACTTTGTAGGCATCTCCTTTCATCCTCTCAAGCCTCACTGAAGTGGGGCCTTTCTGAGCCCCTCTTACAGATAAGGGCACTGAGGACTGGTATATATAACTGGCCAAGACGAAGTCAGACCGAGGGGCTTTCGTCAGGCAGGAAAGACTTGAGATGCCCACAGTCCCCACTCTAGAGCTTGCAGGACAGCTCAGGACCCCGCAGATTCTCAGAGCCCCGTGAGGCGTGATCTTCACCCCCTTCCTCCCCTCCCCCACCCCCTGCTTAAGCAGTAGGATCTCTAGTTCAAGGACAATACACGTAGAGGCCCAAGAGAGATCAAGGCACTACATCTCTGGTGGAGCCAGGACAGGGACCCAGAGCCTGGCCCCTCCCTCTGCCCTTGGCCACCAGCCCCTCCTCAGAACCCTCCAGAGTCCACTGAACTCAGCCCAACAGTGACTGCTTCTGGCTGATCAGCATTCTGCAGCTGAGGAAGCTGGGGCCCAGAGAGGAGCAGCAATTTGCCCAAGGTCACACAGCCATTTAGAGACTGACCCAGGCCCAGAACCCAGGCCTCTCGACTTTCGGATCATTTCACAACACTGTGTCTTCAGTATGACGCTTCTGTGTCCAAACTGGGCTTGCTGAACATTGCTTACACTTCCCAGCTTCTGCTGGGGCTCGTCCCTCCCATCCCTGAAAGAGGGTCCTGCTTCAGCCTACAGGAAGTTTCGCCATACCCTACATGCCCACTCCCTTTGGTGTGTCACCCTCCACACCTTTTCTGTGAGGATCTGAGGTGCTTGGGGACAGGGAGTATTTCTGGTGTATTTCTTTCTTTATAAAAAACAAAATTGTGGTAAAATACACAACATAAAATTTACCATCTTAACCATTTTTAAGCCTACAGTTCAGTGGCATTAAGTACATTCACGTTGTTATATGACCATCACCACCATCCATCTCTAGAACTCTTTCATCTTCCCAGACTGAAGCTCTGTATCCATTAAACTGTAACTCCCATGCCCCCTTCCCCTTGCCCCTGGCAAGTACCACTCTACTTTCTGTCTCTAGGAATCTGACTTAAGTACCTCAAATAAGTGGAAGCATACAGGATTTGTCCTTTTGTGTCTGGTTTATTTCACTTTGCATAATGTCCTCAGCGTTCCTCTGTGTCGTTGCAAGTGTCAGAATTTCATTCATTTTTAAGACTGAATAATATCCCATTGTACGGATTTACACATTTTGTTTATCAGTTCATCCACTGATGGACATTTGTGTTTCCACCTTCGGGCTGCTATGAACGTGGGTGTGCAAAACTCTGTGTCCCTATAAATAAATATTTATTTATTTATTTATTTTTATTTTTATTTATTTTGGGGGTCTTAGTTGCGGCACGAGGGCTCTTCGTTGCAGTGCGCAGGCTTCTCTCTAGTAGTGGCATGCAGGTTTTCTCTCTCTAGTTGTGGCGCATGGGTTCCAGAATGCGTGGGCTCTGTAGTTGTGGTGTGCAGGCTGTCGTTGAGGCATGCAAGCTCAGTAGTTGTGGCCCACGGGCTTAGTTGCCCCGCGGCACGTGGGATCTTAGTTCCCTGACCAGGGATTGAACCCACGTCCACTGCATTGGAAGGCAGATTCTTTTACCACTGGACCACCAAGGAAGTCTCCCCTGCTTTTGTTTCTTTGGGGTGTACACCCAGAAGAGGAATTTATGGTAATTCTATGTTTAATTTTTTGAGGAACTGCCATAGTGTTTTCACTCCCACCATAGTGTTTACATTCCCACCAGCAATGCACAGGGTTCCTCACCAACACTTGTTATTTTCTGTTGTTTTGATAATAGCTAATGGGTGTGAAGTGGTATCTCATCGTGGTTTTGATTTGAATTTCCCTAACACTTAGTGATGTCGAGCATCTTTCCATGTGCTATTTAGCCATCTGTGTATCTTCTTTAGATAAATGTCTATTCAAGTCCTTTGCCCATTTTTTAACAGGTCTGTTTGGTTCTTTGTTGTTCAGTTGTAGGAGTTCCTTACATATTCTGGATATTAATCCCATCTAAGATATGTGATTTGCAGACATTTTCTTCCATCCTGTGGGTTGCTTTTTCACTCTGTTGGTAGTGTCAGTGACGGTCACTGGTTTATTTCTGAATCAGTGATTCCTGGTCAGCACCTGGCACAGGAGCAATCATACTCAACTTTCCCACATCCTGGTACCCACCTTGCGTGGGATCCAGGCCAACCCATGAGCCCCCAGCCTTAGGTTGGGGGCAGAGGGAACATCACACACAGCAAGGCAGAGGGAGTCCATCCATCAGAGAGTCACTCAACAAGCACCAATGCAGGGGTTGCATCTGAAGGATTTGAGGCGGGGGGTGCAACACAGTCAGGTTCATGCATTTGAAGGGTCCTTCTGGCAGCTGATATGGAAGCTGGACCAGTGGACTCACTGATTTCCCCAAGCAAGTCACCCCACTCTGGGAGTGACGGAGTAGCTGTGTAGAAATGAGGTCAGAGCTTTGTAGCTTTGGCATCAGTTCCAGTCCCAGCTCCATCACTCACTAGCTATGTGACCCCAGACACATGGCTCTATGTCTGAGCCCCTCTCTCTGTTCCTCATCTGTGAAAAGGCAGCAAATAACACTTCCCCAGAAGGATGTGACACTCTATGAACTCACTTCTGTAGGGTGCATGGCAACTGGTTGACAGTCCGCTGGAAGGTCAGCTTCTCGAGGCTGGAGAACATTCCGTGTTCTTCCCCAGGAAGCCACCAGCACAGTGCATGTGGCTTGTGGTGAGAGAGGGCCAGGTGCTGCCTCTCGTTTCAGCTGGCTGTGCTCTCTCTGCCCGCAGTGGGACTCCATCAACGAGGTGGACGAGTCCTTCCGGCCCATCCACACATACCAGGTGTGCAACGTCATGAGCCCCTACCAGAACAACTGGCTGCGCACCAGCTGGGTGCCCCGCGACGGCGCCCGGCGCGTCTACGCCGAGATCAAGTTCACCCTGCGGGACTGCAACAGCATGCCCGGTGTGCTGGGCACCTGCAAGGAGACCTTCAACCTCTACTACCTGGAGTCGGACCGTGACCTGGGCGCCAGCACACAGGAGAGCCAGTTCCTCAAAATCGATACCATTGCGGCCGACGAGAGCTTCACCGGGGCCGACCTGGGTGTGCGGCGCCTCAAGCTCAACACGGAGGTGCGAGGTGTGGGCCCCCTCAGCAAGCGTGGCTTCTACCTGGCCTTCCAGGACATCGGTGCCTGCCTTGCCATCCTGTCTCTCCGCATCTACTACAAGAAGTGCCCCACTATGGTGCGCAACCTGGCCGCCTTCTCGGAGGCGGTGACGGGGGCCGACTCATCCTCGCTGGTGGAGGTGCGGGGCCAGTGCGTGCGGCACTCCGAGGAGCGGGACACACCCAAAATGTACTGCAGCGCCGAGGGCGAGTGGCTGGTGCCCATTGGCAAGTGCGTGTGCAGCGCGGGCTACGAGGAGCGGCGGGATGCCTGTGTGGGTGAGCGCGCCTCTGTGCGGGTGGGCCGGCAGCTGGGCTCAGTGTGGGCAGGGATGCTGGGGGCCGGGGAGCAGGCTTGGCACAGTCAGCAAGCTCCTGGGTGGTGCACACAGCACCTGGGAAGATGCATGAACCTCCAGCGTTCCTGCGTCACCAGGCCACCCACGTGTGTGTTGTGTGTGTGCTGTGGGGAGGGAGACACACCACAACCAGGTGGACCCTCCGTGGGCATCGTGATGTACCCAGAGAGGTACATCTCTGGGCACCAGTGTGATTGGGAATACTACTGGGTACATGCCTGTGCTAGGGAACAGTGATGTGACTTAACATGTCCAGCATTATTCTAAGCACTTTTCACGTATTAACTCATTTAATCCCCACAACCATCCAGCGAAACAGGAACTACTGTTATCCTGGCTTTAAACATGAGGGCACTGAAGCACAGAGAGGCAAAACAACTTGCCCAAGGTGACACAGCTAGGAAGTGGCAGAGCTCTGATTTGAACCCAGAAGTCTGGCTCCAGAGTCTGGGCTCAGAACCACTAAACTTCTAACCTGTTGGGCGGAAGGAGGTGTGGGTTAGAATCAGGGCTCAGGGCGAATGTGTGGCATACAGGGCCGTTGTGAGCTTATGCGGGCAGGGTCACCGCGGGAGGACTGTCTGGGGTGGGCATGTCACAGCCTGCCTGTGTTCAGGGGGAACTTATCTAGGGATGTGGGGGAAGGGACGGCCAGGAGCACTTGGGTCATGAAATAACACCTGTTCCCATGGTGTACTGCTGGGGTTCCCGTGTCACAGACCAGGAGCCGGATCCAGAGCCCAGGCTGTGTGCATGTGTGTGTGGCCAGCAGACCCCTATGTGGGGGCAGTGCAGCCAGGCATCCTGACAGCCCAGGAACACTGGGAGTGCTGGTGTGCACAGACAGCTGGTGCCCCAGCTATTAGTGGTCTCCACCTGGTTGCCCTTCCTTGATCTCCCCAGGGACTAGACACATGGCAGCTCAGCCACTCAGAGCTCAGTGAAGCCTGCTTCTGGGACCATTGGTTCTCTTGAGGGAGGAGGTGTTCCTGGGCAGGGATCACAGAGACTAGGGCCTGTCCCCAGACAGCCTCAGTGAAAACGGGGACGGGGCCCCGAAAGACACTAGAAATATCCTCTGAGCCCTTTGCTGGTACTACACAGGCCCTGAGACCACAGTTAGAGGGACCTTCAGGCCTCTCAGCACCATCCCTCTGTCCTAGCCGGCAGGAAGGCCCCTTGGTACTCGCAGGACTGAGCAGGACACAGGCTGACAGTTTCAGGTGATGTGCAAAGTACCTTCAGAGTCCAGCCTGGTCCAGCTTAGGAGTTATCTTGCCCTGAGATCTCCAGGACTAGATTCTTCTGTCCAGCCACCAGGCCCTTTCTGGCCCCTCTCTGGGGCTCTCTGATTTCCTTAAGAAATCTTTTTTCATGCTTCCAACTGCCACGAGTCTTCACTCTCCTGGACCCTAAACCCCAAAGCACCTTCTGTGACATTTGCCTGTTTCTGGATTTGTTCTACCCTCTGTGGCCTAGTTTTCCGGGCTCTCCAGGCCTCCAGCCTCTCCTGGTTCCTTCACAGACATCCCTGTACTTCTCTACTTCCCTCTGGGTAGCAACAATAACAGCAGACATCCCTGGTGCCTATACAGCTTGCAAGGGGATTCCTAGCACATCCATTCATTGGCTCGTTGTAGCAAGGCAGGTATTACAATTCCATTTTACAGATGGGGAAACTGAGGCTCAAGAGGTAGTGTCCTGCTTAGGTTCAGAGCTGGGGAGAGATGGAGCTGGGCTCTGAGTCAGGTCTGTCTTACTCTGAGCCATGTGTGTAGGCTTTTCACCTATCCCTGGCCTATCCTGACTGCATTCCCCACTAGAGCCAGCTCCCAACATCCCCTTATTCGGATGGGGATATAAAGTCCCTTCGTGACAATTTTTTGAGTGTTTGCCATGTGCCAGGCACTTTAGTGAGCACTTAGTACACATTATGTCAGTTACTCGTTCTGTTGAGCATCTACTGTGTCCCAGGCATCAGGGATAGAGACACAGGGCATCCCTGCCTTTGGGGAGTTCACAGTTTCTCATCCTTACAATTGTCCTCTAAGCTAGGTATTATAGCCCCATCTTACAGATATGAAAAACTGAGTCCCTTCAACTTAAGTGGCAGAGCAGGGACCTGATCCCATGTTGTCTCACTCCAGAGCCCTGAGCTGCTTCCTCTGCCCACAAAGCTCTCTGCGAAGCCCCCTGGGGTAACGTTAAAAAGGTTAGTAGCCAGGACAGTATAAGCTGTAACAGTCGGGCGGGCTAGCCAGTAGATACCTGCTCAAGGTCAGCTGCCCCCAACCCTGGATTGAGCCAGTGAGCACAGCAGGCCACTTGTTTGTACAGAGTGCATCCTTGCCCTTAGGAGGGAGACTGGTCCTCTTGACTTCGGGGTTGGGGTCTCACTCAGAGGTACTGCTCCAGCCTCCTTTTTTGATAGAGATGGGAAGTGGAGCCCAAAGAGGGAATGCGTCTTGCCCAAGGACCCACAGCATGTCAAGGGCAGGACTCTTGGTGGAAACCCCACGGCCTGAGCAGGGGGACCTCCTCAGGGCTGGGAGAAGCCAAGGCCACTCCCATTTCCTGACACTGCTGGCACGTTAATAAAAAAGTAATGAAGAAATGCCAAAGCAGGGTTAGGGAATTGCAGCATATTTTGAATTTTACATTTAAATCACAATGCAGCGTAATTATGCCAGTTGCAAGATAATTACAGGTTTTATAAAGAATATTAATTCATAGTGCACTGCAGGCAGTGACGTTTGGGGGCGGGATGCCGGCGGTACGCGGGCCTTTCACTGTTGTGGCCTCTCCCGTTGCGGAGCACAGGCTCCGGACGCGCAGGCTCAGCGGCCATGGCTCACGGGCCCAGCCGCTCCGCTGCATGTGGGATCTTCCCGGACTGGGGCACGAACCCGCGTCCCCTGCATCGGCAGGCGGACTCTCAACCACTGCGCCACCAGGGAAGCCCAGGGGGATGCCGGTTTAAAATCGCATGAGGAGAGACTTTTCTTAACCCTGTAGGTGGGCTTCTGTGATTGTCTGTTAACCTCCTTCAAAGAAACAGCACAGGTGCAAAACTGAGGCCCTCCCCCAATGGGAGGCCTGGGCCAGCGGCCCTGCAGTGTCGCCCATCCCCACCCCTCCCTAGTGGGTAGCCCGAGAGTGAGAGAGGGTGGGGCACAGCAGGAGCTGGGTACAGACTGGGGGTGCCTTTCCTGGGCTGCTTGAGATGGCCTCTCAAAGCTGGAGCCCCCGCCCAGCCTGAGCGGGGCCTCCTGAGACCCGAGGGGCCCTGGCCCGGGCAGTTCTGTCTGAGTAAACAGGGCCGGGAGAGGGGGTCCCGGCTTCCCCCACCTGAGTGCCCCCCCGCCTTCTTTCTGGCGATAGGAGAAGGGACCCAGAGCTTGAGGGCTGCAACAGCGGCCAGGCCCATGGAGAGAGCCACCCTCCCAGCTGCCAGGTTCCCATCTCGCTAGTCTCACCCTCAAGGCTCCCCTCAGAAGTGGCTGGGCAGCAGTTGCTTTTATGGAGAAGACAATAAAGCCCAGGAGAGGGGACCAGCCCAATCACATGGCTTTTTAGAATCCTTATGGAGACTGCACTCGGGCCTCAGGGACCCACGGAAGAACGTCAGAGCCACGCGGAGCTAGTCCAGTTTACCAGTGGGGAAATGGAGGCCCAGAGAGGCGAAGTGACTGACCCAAGGGCATATAGCTAGGAGTGGTTGATTGAATCCCAAATCTCCCAACCCCCTGACCAGAAAGCTCCCCACACTACCCATTTCCTGACCCAGTGACCTCCCTCTACACGTGGCTGCATCCCCCTCCACGCCCTCCAGAGAGAAGGACCTCTCAGAACTTCACCCGACAGAGCAGCCCCCAGAGTCTCCTGGCTACCGTCCTTTCTGTCACCTGAACACAGAATATAAACCACCCTCTGCGGCCCTAATCATCTTTCTATAAATATCAGAGCATCTCATTTCAGAGGGGCAGCATGAACAACGAGCTCTTTTGCCTTCCTGACTGTGTTCAAAATCTGATTTAGAATTAATTTCCTTTGGTCAGCCACCAGCAGACACCTTATTTGTCAAATCTCAAGCTCTTCGTGGGGGAGAGGAGAGAGGTGGCCGGGGTCTCCATCAGCTTGCCGGCCTGACAGGCGGCCTGGGCAAGGTGCCCTCGGCAGGGGCGGGAGCCCCTCCTGGCGCACGGCCGACACGGGCACTGCAGACTCCGGAAGCGCCCTGGGTCTACTATGGGCAAGGCCAGGCCCCAGCCCAGAGCCGCTCCATCTGTCTCGGCCATTAATTCCCGGCTCTGCCTCCAGGTCTCCGGGCTCTCCGAGGCCTGGTGATTAGTATTCTTATTCAAGATTATTTTATTTTCATTGAGCGGATTAATCTAGCCTTGGCACTTTATAGCCATATGGGTATTAACCGAGCGTGTGAGAACCGCCCACCGGTGAAGTGGCAGGATGGCGGGGCCGTCTCTAAGCAGAGGCCGGGTGTTGCGAGGCTGGTGGGAGGAAGGCTGGGGTTTGCTTCCTGGCTCAGCGGGGACCCTGGGGCGAGGCACTCAAGCTCCCCAGCCTCTGTTTCCTCCCTGCCAAACAGATGTATACATGCTGAGTGCCTACGCTAGTAATAACGAGTGCCAGGTGCTGTGCTCGTGTGAATTCACGTGTATTCACTCTTGTCATCCTCACCACAGCCCTTGGAGGTGGGAACTATTATTGTCCCCATTTTCCAGATGAAGACACAGAGGCCCAGCAACTTGCCTAATGTCACTTAGCCTAGGGGAAGGGGCTGGAAAAGAAAAGGAACCCAGGCAGCCTGCTCCCAAGTTTCTGCTCTTTAACACCTGAGGACTAGCACAACTCTGAATGGTCAGGGACTCAGAAAACAAAGGCTGGGGCTTCCTTGGTGGCGCAGTGGTTGAGAGTATGAATTTGAAATACTTGTTATTTGGTAAACTGAAAATAGGGTTGGTTGTTAATTATTAGGCTAAGGAGCAAGAAAGAAGCTTCTTGGGCTTCCCTGGTGGCGCAGTGGTTGAGAGTCCACCTTTCGATGCAGGGGCCGCAGGTTCGTGCCCCGGTCCGGGAAGATCCCACATGCCGCGGAGCGGCTGGGCCCGTGAGCCATGGCTGCTGAGCCTGCGCATACGGAGCCTGTGCTCCGCAACAGGAGAGGCCACAACAGTGAGAGGCCCGCGTACCGCAAAAAGAAACCCCAGAAAACAAAACAAAGGCTGTCATGTTGTGCCATGCATCACACCAAGATGTCACCGCACGTGTCCTGGTCTGCCCCTCACTGCTCTGACAGCTCCTTGAAAGCAGCACTAGCTCTTATTTACGTCCTGTCCGTGGCTCAGTAAATTTGGGTGAAGGAATAAATAAGGGACAGAATAAGCAAAATGGTTCCCGAGATGTTGATCAAGGTGGACCCGAGCAGTACAGTGAGGAAGAGTGTCATTCAGTTCAGCCACAGGTTCGATAAATGTTTGCTGGTGAAGTGCAAAGCCTGTTTCTTCTGTCTGCTTCTTGGGCTCAGAAGGAAGCTCTTAGGCTGTGCCTGGGCTTCTGGGAAGAGGAGGGGAGATCTCAGGGTGTCCACTAGGACCCTCCCCACAACTCCAAGCACCCAGCCCCCAGTCAGGCCTGAGCCCTCTTGGGGTCTCCCCAGGGGGCAGGAAAGAGGTCTCAAAACTGAGGCACATTCTCGCTGACTTCCCAACCTATAAGCCCCTTATGGCTCCATGGCCTCTGAGTCTGGGAAGCAACTTAAGGGCATCATCATTTCTCCTAATTTCAGGTTTTCTCTCAAGTTTCTAGAATTTTACAAATTAATCTTATTTTAGCTATTATGGTAAAGAGGTACAATCAAATAATGACATAGCTTTGCAAATGAAGCTTCTCTCAAGCACTGAGTTTTCTAGAAAGGGACTTATCGGAGAGAGATCCCAGTGAGTTTCCTGGTGGTCCCCATTGCAAAGGAGTTCAGTTCCACAGATGGAGCTGGGAGCTGCCTGGCTGGGCAGCATTTGGTCCTCCTGAACCCCTGGGTTGTCTTTCTGCCCAGAGCAGATAATGGCCGGATTAGCTCACTTTGAAAACTCCCACCAGTGTTGACGACTTCTACCCTGAGCCAGACCCTAGGAACTTTGAGATGAATAAGGCGGCCCTGCCCTATTCACAAGGATCTACCCACAAGGAGAGAGAGTCAGACACACAGATGAAAAAGTACAGCCATAATGTTGCAGGTGGTGAGACCGAACAGGGATGCAAAGATGGGGAGAGGAGTGGTTGCTTCTGTGTGTGTGTGTGTGTGTGTGTGTGTGTGTACATGTGGAGATGTGGAGCGGTCCAGAAAGGTTTCATCAAAGGCACAGTTAAAATGAATCTTGAAAGAATTCGACAGGGTGACAAAAAGAGAAAAGGCACAGCATGTGCAAAGGCCCCGAGACAGGAAACAACTCCTGAGTGTGGGGAATGGCCAGTCCTTTAGTTCGGCCTGAGGGAGAGGGAATGGCCCTGAAGGAGGCTGCAGGGAGGCTTTGAACACCAGGCTTTATTGTTTAGGCCATGGGGATCCTGTGAGGGTTTGGCCCAGCAGCAGTGTCATTTTAGAGTCCCTCAACCCACAACATCGCACTCCCTGCATGGCTGACTCGTTCTCAGCCTTTAGGCCACAACTCAAAGACCTTCTCAGGGAAGGTCGCTCCTCCCACCATTTACCCTTTGCCACATCCTCTGCTTTATTTCCTTCTGGAAATGATCACAGCCTCACTTACTGTGTCTCCCCCTGCTGCCTTGAAAAATGCCAGCTTCTTGAGGGCAGACGCCATGTGGACCTTGTTCGTGGCTGTGTCTCTGGCACAGAATAGGTGCTCATAGATACTGGCTAAAGGAATAGTCATCTCGCAGGCAGTGGGGCTGGGGAGGTGGGGCTGGGGGCCAGGTTTGGAGGCTGCTGTGGTCATCAGGGCCAAGATGTGTGTGCCTCTCAGAGGCCGGAGAGAAGGTCAGGTACAAGAAACATATCGGGTCAGCCACGATGAGACTGGGAGGGTCAGGAGCCTGCAATTCCTAGATGATCAGCATTGTTCGGGGAGCTTGTAAAACACAGATTCCCAGGCCCCACCCCTGGCTCTTCTAACTCAGTGGCTGTGACGGGGCCGGGGTCTGTGTTTTTATAGGGATGGTTCCACGCCTGTCCTTTTTGGGAACCTCTGGTCTCACCACACACGCCTCTTCCAGTCACGTTCCTCCCCCACCCCCATTCCCTCTCCGGCTTTCAGGTCAGACCCCTGGGGTTTCGGCCCCCCTCAGATTCTTAGCCTTGACCCCCTGCCCCTGAGGCTGGTGTATCGCTCAAGGACAAGTGCCCTGTGAACGACAGAGCCTGGGTGGGAGGGGCCATTGGAGGATTCAGAGAGGCTCCGCCCTGTGCTGACTATGGGGCTGGGACTCAGGTGTCAGGGTCCCAGCCTCAGCTCTGCCTCCGACTCGCTGTGCAACCCTGTGTAAGTCAGAGGCCCTCTCTGAGCTTCAGTCCCTCCATCTGCAGATGAGAGTAGGAACGGGTGATGCTGAAGGTCTGCACCTCTGTCCCTCAGGGGATCCCCCAGGAACCCCGGGGCCAGAGAGCTGCCCCTGAGGCCCGTCAGGCTCAGGTGGCCCGGCAGGCTCACCTGAAGCCTCCTTCTCTTCCACAGCCTGTGAGCTGGGCTTCTACAAGTCGGCCCCCGGGGACCAGCTCTGCGCCCGCTGCCCTCCCCACAGCCACTCTGCAGCCCCTGCCGCCCAGGCCTGCCGCTGCGACCTCAGCTATTTCCGTGCAGCCCTGGACCCACCGTCTGCAGCCTGCACCCGTGAGTACCACCCCGTGACCCCAGAACCCTCGAGACTAGGGTAGGACCCCATGCTCGGCCCCTCAAGCTCCCAGGGAGCCAGGTCTCAGCGGGTGAGGCAGGGACAGGTGGCTCTCATGGGCCAGGGGCCAGTCTGGGGATGGGGGGTGACTCTGACCCCTCAACAATGGCCTTGACCTCTCTGGGCTCCCAGCTTCTTGTCATAGGTCACCAGCCATCTCTCCAGTGGAAATCATAGGTCACCTGCCATCTCTCCAATGGAAATCTTTCCATTCCTCCCTCGGTCTCTCCTCTCTGCTCCAAAGGGCAGGACAGAACTGGACTCATGCCCTTCCCAGCACCAGGTGGCTTTGGTCATCTTCTGACCCAAGGGTCATGCCAGTGTCCTGGGGGCTGGGGTGGGCAAGCTGGGGGACTGCCTGTGCGGCAAGGCGGGCAACAGAGGAGCCGCCCCCACCTCTGCCCCGCATCACTGCCATGCTTGAGAGACTGGGGGGAGCTGCTGAATTCGGGGAGCTGCTTTAGTGTGTGTGTGGGGGTGCGTGATTGTGTATATGGAGTGGGTGTGGCTGCTGTGTGTCGGATTCTGTGTGTGCCTTGGGAGGCCTACAGCGATTATGACTGTGTGTCCTTGTCGGTAGCAGTTCATGCAGTAGATGCCTGCATAGAGTGTGAGTGTTCAAGTGCTCGTGCCCACGTGTGTAAAGTGTTCTTAGAAGGGTGTGTGCACACGTGTGTGTGCATCTGGGTACCTGGAACAGACTCATGAGTCCCCGTGGAGCTTGAATGAGCCTGCTTTGTGAGCTCAGCACGAGCACACCTGGCCCTGCAAGGGAGGTGTGCGCCTGGAGAGGGTGAGGCAGCAGCGCGCGCATGCCCCGTACCTGAGGGAACTCTGAGGGACTCCGGCGCCGTTGTGCCTGCAGGGCCGCGTGACTGTCTTGGCATTTCTGCTGATGCAGCTCCTCCGTGGCCTCCCCTCCCCTGGCCCAAAGGGGCCTCTCACTCCCACCCCCGCTGGGGAGGAGCTGCAGCCAGTTCAGCCCACGCTGTTCACCAGCCTTGGGCTCTTATGACGGGGTGAGGGGTACTTTACTCGGTGCTGATGGGTTTTGCCCCAGAATTTACCCCAACCTGATCTCCATCTCCCCCTCCCCCAACTTCCATCACCACCCTTCCCCAGACCCCCTGCACAGGGCAGGTAAGGGCCCAGGTGTATTCACATTGCTACACACACCACACCACACACACGCGCACACACTACACACAGATACACACGCACCACACCACACACACGCGCGCACACTACACACAGATACGCACCACACCACGCACACGCGCTCACACTACACACAGATACACGCACACACGCGCACACTACACACAGATACACACGCACCACACCACGCACGCACGCACACACTACACACAGATACGCACGCACGCGTGCACACTACACAGATACACACACACGCGCGCACACTACACACAGATACACACCACACCACACACACGCGCGCACACTACACACAGATACACACGCACCACACCACACACACACGCACACACTACACACAGATACACACGCACCACACCACACACGCGCGCGCACACTACACACAGATACACACACGCACACACGTGCACACTACACACAGATACACACACACGCACCACACCACGCACACGCGCGCGAGTAAACCCTTCTTCCCCCCTCCCTCACGTGTTGTGCCCAGACCTGTGCCTTTGCCCCATGTGGGACCTGCTGGGGCAGAAAGGATTGCTGAGGGGCATGGTGACTGCTCTGGGCTCCTCAGGCCAGGTGAGCCCAGCTCTAGGTCACAAACATTTGCATTGGACTCCAGTTTCTCTCCAAATCCACAATCCAGTGCCCTCCAGTTCTAGGAATCTTAAGATTGTAAAAGACTAGGCTTTTAGTATTCCATACCCTGCAGATTCTAAGGTTCTTTATGATTCTGAGATTCTACAATTCTGTTTTCTTAAGATCTAAGATGCCCAGCTTGAGATTCTGAGAGTTGGAATTCCATCGCCCCTCAGGCCCTCCTGGTTCAAATCCCCACCCCCAGGATCCTACCCCAACTCGCAGCCCCCAGCCCCGCCCCTCTCTCCAGTGTCCTTGTGCTGCCCAGACTGGGGCTCCATCCTGGGCAGTGGGGAGGGGTCACTTGGCACACGGGGCTCTACTTTTCTCCACCACAGTGTTCAGTGTCATTGACATGAAATCCAGCCAGGGGGTTAAGGAGTGGAGTGGGGGATGCAGATGGCTGGGGCATCTCACACCCAGGGTAGCTGCTATGTGCAGACTCTCCCCAGCTCTGGATGAAAATCTTGTGAAGCACAAACCCCAGGATCTGGGTGGTGCTACATGGGGTGGGGGAAGGGTGGCTTCTGTGCCCGGACCCTGACTGTGCTCCCAGACACTGCCTCTGCCCTCGGGGACCTTCCAGAGGATGGAGTAGGTGTGCCCTTATCCTTAGGGAGCCCCAAGTATCATGCGGGAACCACAGCCCTTCCCTGACCGGATGGGAGACTAGACCAGCCCAAATACATGCCCTCCATGCCCACCTGTCATTCTCTGCTTTCCAGGCCCCCCCTCGGCACCAGTGAATCTGATCTCCAGCGTGAATGGGACTTCTGTGACCCTGGAGTGGGCCCCTCCGCTGGACCGGGGCGGCCGCAGTGACATCACCTACAATGCCGTGTGCCGCCGCTGCCCCTGGGCCTTGGGCCACTGCGAGACGTGTGGGGGCAGCACCCGCTTCGTGCCCCAGCAGACCAGCCTGGTGCAGGCCAGCCTGCTGGTGGCCAACCTGCTGGCCCACATGAACTACTCCTTCTGGATCGAGGCCGTCAACGGTGTGTCCGACCTGAGCCCAGAGCCCCGCCGGGCTGCCGTCGTCAACATCACCACGAACCAGGCAGGTAGGCGGAGACGCCCATCCCCAGCTCCCGGGCCCTTCGTCCTCCCTGGCATCCGAGCACTGCGCGGACTTGCTGTGGCGTTTGGGCAAGTGCCTGCCTCTCTGGGCTCCACCTTCCTCACCAGGACTCTGAGCTACAGGCTTTGTGCCCTTAGAAAAGTAAAACATGTTCTATAAGTGGAAGGAAACCAAAAAGCACAGAGGCAGGCTAACATGACCATCCCAGGCCTGGTTTCTAGAATTTTCCCTCTCTGCCTCTGTCTCCTCCCTGTTGTAATAGGAATAATAGTACCTGCTCTGTTACTGAGGCTTAAATGAAGGAAATGAAAATGCTTAGCCCGGTACCTGGCCCACGGTACGTGCTCAATAAATGTCATTAAAATATCAAATCACTCTATCATTTTCCAGAACAGCTACCACTGCTGCCCCTGGGATGGATTTGGTCATACTGGTTTGGACGACAACCACTTATCTCTCTGTTTCTAGCCAGTTGTTGGACTGAAGTTAGCCCCTTTCTTTCCAAATTCTGGTGGGTCCTGCCTGTCGAGTGGCAGCCTGACCTGAGGGCCACATGTGGCAGCTTCCCTGTTAACAGCGCCACTGGCACGTGCCCTGTGGCTCCCCACCCCCGTCTCCTCCCAACACCACACAGGCCTGGCTCAGTGACTCCGTTCCCACCATGTCACAGAGGAGGAGCTGAGGCCCAGAGCCAGCCAGGGTCACCACATAGAAGCAGCAGAGTCAGGATTCGAACCCAGGTCTGCCTCACTCCCAAGTGAAATAGGCTTCCCAACCCTGAACCCAGGGCACCCCCTCCCTGACGCCAGGGCTTCATCCTCCCAAGAGACCCTCATTCCTCTGGCACCTGTGGAGCACCTGTGAGATGCCAAGCTCTCTGCTCAGTGCTAGTGACGCAATGAGGAGTAGGCCCTTGTGCGTGGTGCCAGGCCCCGCCCCTGCCCACGTGTCTCTGGGGTGGCCGAGACAGGTGTCCGGCTGGTCAGGGGTGGAGGGCGGAGCAGAGAACCTACAGCACTCACACTGCTCCGTGTGCTCCATCATTAAAAAGAACAGCCTCGGGCTTCCCTGGTGGCGCAGTGGTTGAGAGTCTGCCTGCCGATGCGGGGGACACGGGTTCGTGCC